TTGTCAGAGAAACCATAGGGGAACTAGTCTCCGTCCTCTCACGAGTATTTACATGTGCAGGCTTCAGCCACTCAACTCAGAACCGGATATTCGGGGAAGGAAGTGGCCCCTCATCAATCTCACCCTCATCCAACCATTTTTATTGACTGTGTGATCACTTAACATCAACATTTATGATTTGAATTAATTACTAATCATATTGTCAAACATATTCTAATTGATTATAAATTAATTTTTTTATATTTATATTTATGATTATAAATTAATTTTTTCCATATCTAAATATCTAATTTGAATTAATCATTATTCTATAATTTTGAAAATACCTAAATATATTTTTAGAATTTTATAATAATTGCTATAATATTTTTAAAAATTGAAAATATTTTCTTATTTATAATTATTAATCTCTATAATAATTTAAAAGCCTGAAAATAAATTTTAAAAAATATTTTTATTGCTATAATATTTTCTAAAACTAAATATATATTTATTATGAAAATTTAAGATTATTTTAATTACAAAAATATTATAAATAATTAAAAATATTTTTTCACAACTATCTAAAAGTGCAATAAAATCTAAATTAAATTTGATAATTATTAAAATAAAAATTTCCAATTATATAAGAATAAAAATTTTCAAATTGTAATATGTAGATTGGAATTAAAAGTCAAGTTCTAAAAAAATAAATATTTTTATAGCACATAAAATTAAAAAAAATAATTAAAATTAAAATTAAAATTATATTGGATAGGGGTAGTTGAAAATTTGAAATACCTAAATTATTTTCCTCCAAGCAATTAAAGAGCCATGCGTTGAAGACAAAATTACATACGCAAAAACACTAACAATCTAAAAAAAATTGAAAACAATTAAAAAGGGTAAAAAATCATACAAAATTAAAATAAAATAAATAATTTCTATAATATTTTAAAAACCGAAAAATATATTTAAAAAAATCAATATCTGAATATAGCAACAAAAGCATCGTGGGTTGAAGATTAAAAATCACTGATTTATTTATGTACAGTAATATAAAATTATTTAAAAATATTAAATTATAAATAATTATTCAATGGTTGTAGTATAAGTACCTGAATAATCTTTCTCCAATTAACAATATTTTGGATCGTAGATAAAATATCGGGGAGTTATTTCTCATAAAAAAACTCAAGATTCAAAAAAATTAATATTATTTGATAATAATTAAAACTAAAAAATACTGTAAAATTTTAAAATAAAAATTATATTGGATAGGGCAGATGAAATACCTTGGAATTAAAAGCCAACAATCTAAAAAATAAAAAATTTGAAAATAATTAAAATCAAAAAATACTACACAAATTAAGAAAACATAAATATTAGATGTTGCTAAATTAATTACTTCATGTATTTTTTGGAGATCAAAATAATAATTTGAAGTGGGAATTAAAAAACTAACAATCTAAAAAATCAAAAATCAAAAAAATTAAAATGTAAAAATACACAAACTAAAATAATATAAATATTGGATGGGGCTACATTAATTACCTGATGTATTTATCGGAGATTGGAATAATAATTCAGAGTTCTGTAAAAAAAATTAAGACTGAAAACTAAAATATAAAAAAAATTAAGACGGGAAAAGTGACCGGAAAAATAAAATTGAATTTTGGGATAAGTAGATTTTTTAACTTTTTCAAGAAAAATTATATTTTCTTTCATATATTGAAAGAAATGTCTAAATGAGGGGATTTGATTTTATTTGTGATTTGAATTAATTACTAAGTATATTGCCAAAGATATTCTAATTGATTATAAATTAATTTTTTTCTATATACATATTTATTTGAGTTAATGGTAGAGATATAATAGCAATTTAAATGGACGAATTAGACGATATGACACGTGTCAAGGAATTTAGAGAAAGTGAAAGATGATGTGTCATCCTTTGGTGAGTTTTTAAACTTTTTTGTTTTGCTTTAATGTATACCCTAGTAAAAGATATTAGTGAAAATTTTGCTATCATATATAATAATAGTATTATATATTTATGATATAATATTTTTGATATATTAACCATTTATTATGAAACTAATATGATAAAATTAAAAATTGGAGGGGTCTCTTAACATTGTGTATTTATTACATTTAATCTAATTGGTGAGGGTTATGAGACTGATTTAAAGGCATATATGGTTTACGTATGTATGTGTTTTATGTGTACATGTATATGTTTTGGAGGGCGGTTTCGGAAGAAAATATTTTATCATCCTACACTTATAAGATAAGCTTAAATATTATCAATCAAGTAATAATCACACAAGTTTAAAAAAAATCTGAACTATGATGAACAAAAAATATTAAGAGCTAAAATTCATGAAACTCTGCAGTATAATTTGGAGAAAATTAAACTTTCAAAATATTGAAGTTAAAAAATGATTGAAAAAAAAAGTTTAGTTTACGTTATGAATATAAGCACAGTAGTATTAGATATATTGAAAAATATCTGAAATTGGAGGGGTTTCTGGTAAAAGAAAAAGAACTAGTTCGGTTCGCGTACCCTATGAAATATTGAAACCTAATTACACGTCGATGGGTAAAAGAGAAGGAGAAGGAGAAAGATGGAAGCAATGTTACATTAAACGCTGGGCGCTCCTGGGCGTCGGACTTGGCGCCCAGCTCTTAGACGCCTAGGCGGGCGCCTAAGCGGTTTCTGAGCGGTTTTTTTCTTCTGGGCGGTTTTTCTTTTTTTAATTGTGATACTTGAAGATAAATATATATACTCAATCAACAATGTTTATATATGACAGTCATAAGAGGCTAGGAGCAGTTAATTTCCTTGAGCAATGCCGATCAAAATAAATATGATATAAATATACTAAGTTAATTTCCTTGAAACATCAACGGATTAAACTTACTATCTCTCTTTAAACTTATTATCCTCACAAGTAATAAGAATCTATCAAACCTGAACCAATCAACACAGATTTTGCCTTTTTAAGACTTGAACCCAATAAAAATTATCAACACAGTTACACAAGCCTACAATATCAAATTAATGAGAACCCAAAACTTGAAGACGAGCTCGGAATAAAAAAAAAAGAGGAAATTGAAATCGAAATAAAGAGGATTAGAGTTTTACGAAGACGCGAACTGTCGGCTGAAGTCGAACTGTCGAAGACGAAGACGAGCCGAAGACGAAGACGAGCTCGGTTGGAGACGAAGACGAGCTCGGTCGGTCGGAAGTCGTCGAGTCGAAGGCGAGCTCGGTCCGAAGTCGTCGAGTCGAAGACGAGCTCGGCAGGTGAGATCGAAGACGAACTCGGTCGGAAGTCGTCGACGTCGAGTCGAAGACGAAGATGAGCTCCGCCTAGGCGCTCGTAGCGCCTAATCGCGACCGCCCAGGGCATTTTTGCACGCTCTGGGCACCGCCTCCGCCTAGGCGGGCGCCTAGGCGGGCGCCTAGGCGGCCGCCCAGAACGTGTTTTACAACACTGGATGGAAGAGTGCATGACTTCCCTTAAAAGTGGCAAATTTAGAGGAATTGCTATTTTTCACTTTTACTGAAATGGACTGCATGAGTACCTTTAACATTAAAAAAATATCTCTGATGCTTTACGAATCACAGAATCAAAAAGTTATGCACCTAAGAAACATGAACAAAAAGATTTAATGTGGTAGAAATAAAAACGTACACTAAATGACTAGATATTCTTGAAAATTTGGAGATTGCTCCTACTGAACGCAAGAAAATTGTTTGAGATGATTCGGTCATGTGTGTTCGGAGGCTATTAAATGCACAAATTCAAAGAAATTACTGGGTAGGACCAAAATTAGGCCTAGGAGGACTTTGTAAGTAATAGTTAAGAAGGATATGACGATGATTAATTTAGAATACAGAACAAACCTGCTCCCCCATTTCGAGTTAAGCTCTAGGACTAATCGCTCTTCTTGAGGAGCCATGCGATAGCGCTTAAGTCCAGGATGAAGAGAATTCACCCACCTCAATCCGCAACTCTTCCCAGTCCTAATGAGACCTATAAACAAACAACATTAAGTGAAAGAAGAAACTTGATTAGATTGTAGCTTTTCTCGACGCTGTCAATGTTAAATTCAGCATGTTACTACATTAAGGTTCACCCCCCCCCCCCCCCCACCCTCGAGAACTCGAGACCTTTCGCATACTGATGCCCAACGACGTTCACCACCGAACAATCTCACGAAGCATACCAGTTGCAGGTTCTCCTGCTCCGTCCACGGTCCCTTTCTTATTTCTTGCCTTTCATCGTTGCCACCATGTTCTTCATTCTTTGCTGTTTTCAGGTTGAGACACTCTTGGTTGCAGGCTTCTGAGATTTATAGGCACAAGTGGTTCTACGGTCAGGTGATGTCATGTGAGAATTTTCAATTGATGCTTCATCATTTGAGCCTTTTTTTAAGACAAGTGCACTCTTCAGTGTTATTGCAACAGTATTGACATGATGTGAGATTGTTTCATGAAAGGTAGTTGTGATTGGTTCAGTGCCTTCCATGTAGGTGTGCTAAACAGTATATGTAATTGAGGAAATATCCTTTATAGTATTCATTAGGATACAGCTATGGTTATTCAAATCTATAACCAATAGTATATGGTTATAGATATAGTTCTGTAGTGAAATATCTGGATCTGTATCCAAATTATTCGGATCCGTCCCCACAAAACCGGATGCCTTCGAGTGTGTTGGAGTGGAAGTCTCCTCGTGAGACATTGAAGGGAGATAACGGAGGGGCCCTACCATTGAAGGTATTTGGCTGTGTGCTTTGTGAAGGACAACAGACTATCGGTTGGGAAGCTAGACCCTAGAGCTGTGAAGTGTATATTCGTGGGATATAATGGTACCCAGAAAGGGTATGTCTGCTGAAGCCCGGTGGAGAAAAGACTGCTTGTCAGCATAGATGTGCGGTTTCGGGAGCTCGAACCGTACTACACAGTGGGGGTTACCTCACCTTTTGGCGACTTGCCTGATACTAGAGGTATGAGGCAAGAGGGGGAGAATGGTGAGAGCTCAAGGGGGTCAATCCCAATTTCGATTCCGTACTCAGTAGAGAAGGAGGATGAAGACGAAGGAGAGAAGGAGGAAAAAAGGGGTGTTAGGCCTACAACTCAGGGGGAGTTGCTTACATACAGTAGGAGGGAGAATGAACCAGAGGTGCCTACAGTAACAGTGCCAGTGCCTAGTCCCTCGTCCAACTCTGATCCAACTCCTGAGATACCTACACAACCCTCCACTATAGGTAATACCATTCCTACCCCTACCACTCTTCCCACTCCAATGTCAGAAAGGAGGACTACTCGCAGTAATGCGTGAAATCCTCCTAAGAGATATGGTTGGGATCTAGATCATTTTGTTTCTTATTCTCACATATCCCCTTCACATGGAGCATTCATTGCATCATTAGATTCTGTTATTATACCTAATAGCTGGCAGGATGCTAAGAAGGACCCAAAGTGGAAGGCTGCTATGCATGAGGAGCTGGGGGCTCTTGAGAAGAACCACACATGGGAGTTAGCAACACTGCCAGCAGAAAAAAGAGTAGTGGGATGCAAGTGGGTGTTTACCGTGAAGTAGAACCCAGAAGGGAAGGTAGAACGATACAAGGCACGACTTGTGGCAAAAGGATACAGTCAGACATACGGCATTGACTACGATAAGATTTTTGCACCAGTGGCGAAGATGAGTACTGTTCGAACGCTGATTTCTCTGGCAACAAATGGTGGATGGGAACTACACCAACTGGATGTGAAGAATGCGTTTCTTCAACAAATGGTGGATGGGAACTACACCAACTGGATGTGAAGAATGCGTTTCTTCATGGAGATCTAGTGAAAGAGGTGTATATGGAGATACCACCTGGATGTGGATGTGAAGAATGCGTTTCTTCATGGAGATCTAGTGAAAGAGGTGTATATGGAGATACCACCTGGATGTGACACAGGACAGACAGTGGGTAAGGTCTGCAGGCTGAAGAAGTCTCTGTATGGACTAAAACAGTCCCCTCGAGCATGGTTTGACAGGTTCAGGAGAGTCATGGTTAGTATGGGATACAGACATATCAATGGCGACCATACTGTATTCTTCAGAAGAAGTGGGGGTCACATCACTATGCTGACAGTGTATGTGGATGACATGATCATCACAGGGGATGATGAGAAGGAGATTGCTCAGCTCAAGGTAAGATTGAGCAGAGAATTCGAAGTGAAGGATCTGGGTCAACTTCGATACTTTCTTGGGATAGAGATAGCTCATGGACCTAAGGGGATTGTTCTCTCACAGAGGAAGTATGCACTAGATCTTCATGCAGAGACGGGGATGTTGGGGTGCAAGCCTGCTGCTACACCGATTGATCATAGTTTCAAGCTGAGTACTGAGGCAGGAGAACCTGTTGATCGTGAGAGATATCATAGATTGGTGGGAAGGTTGATCTACTTGAGTCACACACGTCCAGACATCTCATTTGCGGTAAGCGTGGTGAGCCGCTACATGCATGACCCGAGGAAGGGTCATATGGATGCAGTATATCAGATACTGAGGTATCTGAAGGGATCCCCTGGTAAGGAACTAAGATTCAAGAGGAGTGGCCATGTGAATATTAAGGGCTACTGTGACTCGGATTGGGCTAGCTGCGGAGATGATCGGAGGTCTACCTCAGGGTATTGTATATTTGTAGGAGGCAACTTAGTCTCATAGAAAAGTAAGAAGCAATCTGTGGTGGCGAGATCAACAGCTGAAGCAGAGTACAGAGCCATGGCCTTGGGGATTGCGGAGTTGATATGGCTGAAGAACATGCTGGTGGAACTGAACCTTGATCAAGGGACCAAGATGAGTTTGTGGTGCGATAACAAGTCAGCTATCAGCATCGCCAACAACCCAATTCAGCATGACAGAACTAAGCACATCGATATTGATAAATTCTTCATCAAGCAGAAGCTGAACAGTGGGTTACTAGAGTTAGGTCATGTTCCAACTAAGGAGCAGGTTGTAGACTGCTTGACTAAAGGGCTTAGCTCAGTAGATCTAGCTAGAGGGTGTGACAAGATGGGCTTAATAGATATCTTTCGCTCATCTTGAGGAGGAGTGTTGAAAAGATAATGTAATTAGGGAATATTAGAGGGGTTTTATGTAAATGTGGGTGTAAGGCTATATAAGCCATTCTTTCAATTAGAGAATCGGATCTTGAAACCCTACTCTTTCTACAGAGACGATCCTAACTGTAAGAAAGTTTGATCGCTCGATTTGTGGACCTCTCGTTCATTGAAGAAATCGAGAGGGGATTTTGATTGTGATCCTAACTGTAAGAAGATTTGACCAGGTAAACAGTGGGAGTGAAAGTACAAATCACAGAGGGAGTGTTGACTTGTACCGATTACTCAACGGGGATTCTTGGTGTCAAGTGATAAGAACTTAACACGAAGGGGTTTGACAATTCGTCAAGAATTAAGACATTAAAATTCCGAGTACCATGTCCAGACTCTAACATTAAGGATGTTGAGTGCACAGATACAGCGAAAGTTTGAGCGGATTTAACTGGAAGGAATTTTGATGATTCCCACCGTCAATTAGTCTGATCAGTGGGGGTTTAGTGTTTATCACTTCGTTTGTAATGATCGGGTTATCCCTAAGAAAATTACATGTAGCATTCTTCCGGAAACTTCCCGTTACATAAATCATCCACCCCCAGTTTCCTTTGCGGAACTGGTTCGAACATTATATTCAGTTACATGACCGGGTTATCCTTAAGAATATTACATATAAAAATTCTCCAGGAACTTCCCGTCAACGGTAGGAAACAGTTTGGACTCATATACCTATTGGAGTATTAAGAAGTAGTTTATACTCGTATACTTATCGGAGTGTTCATTCGACTTAATTGAGCGATATAACGCCGGCTTCAACCAAGGTTTGGATGCTATTCTTGAGAGCAAAACAATCCTTGGTGGGATGAAGGACCCTCCCGTGGTACGCACAGTACTTTGGAACCGTATTATTGTCAGCTTCCTCCTGATTTGCGATAGGTGGTAGCTTAATCTTGTTGTTTTCAAGGAGGGATTCGAAGATGGCTGGAACGTCTTCGTCCTTGAAGGAATACTCTTTTTGGAGCCTCGGGTCCGAAGTCTTTTGTTGCCTTCGAGATTGCTGTTGTGACGTTTGATTAGCACCAACAGCAGCTGCAGGTGCCTTGCCCTTACCACGGGAGGCGAAGTTCGAGTTTGGAGAATTAGCCGTCGGTTGGCTCCTCTCGGTCTTCTTCCTTCGGAGGAAGCGTTCGGCTTGTTCACCGCGCACCTTCAAGTCTTTCCAAGTGTTGGACGGTGTCACTCCCATAACTTCCAACACGTCTAAAGAGAGGTTGTTGTGACAGGTTTGGAGGATGAAGTCCTCTGTGATCGGATCTCGACAGTTCATCGCCTTATTCCGGAAGCGCTTGACGAAGTCGTCGACCGTCTTGTCATCTTCTTGCTTCTCATCGAAGAGTGTCCTGATTGACACCTCAGCGTCATCATCAAAGAAATGAGCGAGGAATAAGCTCTCCAGGTCTTCCCAGTTATTAATACTTCCGAACTTAAGACGGCGGTACCAATCAAAGGCGGGCCCGCGAAAGGTGCTAACGAATGACCGAACCATCAAGGCTTCATTACCGGAGATCATACCCAAGTGGGATTTGAAGTAGATCAAATGCTGAGTGGCCGAACCCTTCCCGTCGAACGGCGTGAAGTTAATCAAGTTAAACTTCGCCGGGTATGCTATTTAGTCCCACTCTCTTGGATATGGATATGGAATGCCAGTCCATTTTACCTCTCGATCAGACATTAGAGCGTTGATTTTGCTCTTGAGATCTTTTATTTTTTTATCCTCGCTCGTATCGGGCTTTGGACGCTTTTTAAGAGGAACAATGGGGCCACCCCTAGCGCCGTTGTTTTTAGTGGGGCCACCCCCAGCGTTCTGGTCAATGGGAGGGTCATCAGCATTGATGTATTCATCCATGTCTGAATCGCTAGCTGCTTGGCTAACATTGTTACGACGACTGGATTCACCTAGCTGATTTGACAAAGTCCGAATTTGTTGGTCATGCTCTTCCCTTATTCGTAGCATAGTCATTTCCATTTCAATCTTGAAGGCCTCTTTCTGCTTGGTCAGAGCATCCTCGAGAATTTTGGCGATTTGCTCGGTATTGATCATGAACGTCTCGTGGGATTGTCCCGGACTGGATACCGTATTATCAGAAGCGATTGCCGAGTTAGCATCTGATGCTTCATCATCCGAGGATAACCCTCTCTGCATTCTCTGATAATCTCTTTGTCTAATAGTTCCCGATCGCAACCGGGTTAGACGGTGTGATATAAGCGGGTCAGAACTAGAATGTCGAATCGACTTTCCCTTATCAGCCACATTTATTGTGACTTCCGGGAGTTCGTCACATTGAACAGCCGATCCCTTTTTACGGAAACGCTTTGGTCTGGACTTGGCCATTCCGTTAGAGATCCTCTCGAATACTGAGACCCTCTACGGAGCGGTCTTGAGGCAGCTACACGCTGATAATACTGCCCAGATAATGTTTGTGCACGGACAATGAGAGTCCGTTTCTCGGATACCTCTCTTTCGAGATTTATTCGTACCCCTAACCCGATAGTACAACTCATCGGTCAGATGACCGGAGCAACCTATCGTGTGTTGACACAACTCCCTTGGTATAATGTTGTCATCGTCAGATGAATACGTTTCTTTCAGGGGATTTTGCCGCTTTATTAGCATTCTCAAGAGTCACGTGTTTAGAACTACGTTTTTGGGAGCGCAGGATCTCAACAGGCTCCTGGTTTTGGATACACACCCCCAGGCGGGTGGAAACCGGAGTTTTCCCTTAGGCTCCTGGTTTTGGATACACACCCCCAGGCGGGTGGAAACCGGAGTTTTCCCTTTATGAGAAGGCTTTAAATTGATGCAAGGGCGTGCGCGACCCCCAGCTCAACAAGTCGATTGGGGTGCAGTCACCGGACTTAAGCGTTCTTCGATCGGAAATTTGTCTCGATCTTTGCGTAAAGGATCCAGGTGATCCACCATCCTCATCTTAAAGCGGGACAAGTCTACGCTATCGCGGGGCTCCACCGGAGATGCGAAACTCAAAGGGATCGACGAAACAGGTGCAGAACCTCTTCTGCCTTGACTCTAGCGATGGTCAGATTTGGGTGACCCGCGGGTCGGAGGGTCGGATTTGGGTGACCCGCGGCTTGGAGGGTCAGATTCGAGTGACCTGCGAATTGACGGGTCGGATCTGGGTGACCTGCGAATTGGCGGGTCGGATCTGGGTGACCTGCGAATTGACGGGTCGGAATCGAGTGACCCGCTTTTCTCGATTTTTTCGGCCGCCATCTTGGACTTTGGCCTCCAAACTTTATGCAGTTTTTGTGGCTTCTTTTTCACTTCTTCCCTCTGCAACCTTTTGGCCTCTTGTGCAAGAATTCGCGTGTGCGCAAGCAGTGCGTGGTGCTTTCTGATCTGCTCTTCAAGAGTTAAACGGGTCCTTTTGATTTGTACTCATTCACTTGTTGGTGATTTGGAGGAGAGGGTATTTGTCCGTTGCTGGGGCGCTTGGCGTTGCCTAATTTTTAGATCCGCCTCGTCACGGATCCCGTCAATTAACTCCAAAACCCTAACGAAATTGACACGCAAGGTGTTGGCGCTGCCTTTGGCAAGCTCTCTTCGATAAAGTGGGCGCGCCTTCTGTACTCAACTCCTTGATTGAGGAGGAGTTCAGATCTGCAGATCCGAACTCATTGGAGGCCGGAAGGGCGTTGCAAGGTTCAGCCACCGCAGCAACGGGGGCGTTGATCTTCCTGCACTTGCGAGAAGCGGAGGATCTGGAGGAGGATGACGAGAGGTATTCTTCGTACTTCTGTTGGTCGAACTCGTATTCGACCACCTCTTCAACCGGGATCTTAATCATCGGTTGCGACACGACGGCCTCGGCAGCGAGACCGTTGGCTCCCACTGTGGTCGTCAGTTTGTTTTCGTCGAAAATTATTTTCTTCATTGTATAACTCATTATAACTTTGATCGTTACAATAAGTTTAAAAAGATCGGTCTTTTTATAAGACCTTTACACAATAAAAATGAAAGATACAATTCTCTTGAAAATAAACGCAAGATCCGTTTATCGTCTCCTGCTTGCGTGGGTGTCTTCGCCTGTGCCGGGGTTTATCCGTGGACCACCATCGATCAGATCCGGTTGCTAAAAATTCGGCAGAGCTCCTACTTCACCAATGAGGTATTTGCTTGAAGCGCTGAAATCGACCAAGCGAAATCAGTAGCTCTTCTCGAGATTAAGACCAAGCCTAATCTCGAGGAACGGACGGGAACGGGCGTCGGATCTCTCGAACTCTCCTTCTTTATACCGAAGAACTTGCCAAGATCTGTCAACCCTCGCTAAAATTCGTGCTCCTTTGACTCCTCAATCCGGCAGCACCTCCCCCTCTTGATAATTAATCCCCCCTTGAAATAAGCCCCTAGGCTTGTATTTATAGGCTTCAGTTGGAGGGTTTTTGGATAAGAATGAATGATCCCTCCTTATCTTCAGTTAATAACTGATTAACAACGTTAGGGGATGATATCAGATCAGTTTGGATGCTCAGGAACGACCAAATCCCGAGAAAAACCGTCAAAACCGAACAGGGGTCGAAACAGCGCGCGGAGGCGGATCTGACCCGCGCTTGTGTGGGTCGGGTCCGACCCGCGCCGGCACGGGTCGGTTTGGTCCGTCCCGCGCGGCGCTTTTTTGGCTTCGCTGATTTTTTGTGTTTTTCGGTTCTTCCGGGACTTGTATTTTTTACTGTTTTGCATATTTGATCGTCTTGTTGACTTGTACGCTCCGCACGAGTTGACCTACACGCGCGAGTTGACCGACGCACGCGATTTGACCGACGTGCGCGAGCTGGTTGACGTAAATCTTCTCGATTTGTCCACTCTTTGATTCGAGTTGTATTCGAGGACCTATAGGTAATTTTTGACGCCTACAATGATGAAAATGAAAACTTGTCAATGTCGTCATGTACATCAATTATACTTAACTTATTTCTGATTGTCATGACCAATAACTGGTAATCATAAAATCAATTTTCAACAAGGAGCCATGAAAATGTTAAAAATTTAATGCATTTAGACAATATATTCTAAAATTCGATCAATAATTTAGCTTGTGAAAGTGTTGAGTACATCTGCCAAAAATTCCAAGTAACTTTCTTCTGCTAAAATCACCGAATAACCACACTATTGCACCAAGTTGGTGACTTGGTTTTACAAAGTAACAATACAACCTAAATCCTCTGGCAGACATTGCACATAATGATCATTAACTTTGACATCTCACCAACTTTTATTCTGAGCTACATGAAATGAAGTCTTAAACTATCCATTTTATCCAAAATTGATGGGCGTGAGAGGATTTCTTGGCAATTGTGATGGTACAGAAAATGGTTGTTTTCCTTCTAGTTCACCCCGTCTTATTCTGTTCTCTGATCTCATTTCTTTAACCAGTTCATCAATTGAATGCGTCCTCAATGCTTCAATGGATGCCAAACTTGGGATATCAATTTGCTTCACGGGTGTTCTTGTAGTTGGATGATCAACCTGTTGGTAAATGATTTGAAGTCAGCAGGTTTGGAACTTGACTGTTTCTATATGCATAATGGCAGCTTGATAACGAATCTAAAGTTGACCATGATGATGCCTTGGCTTAAACATGTTCTCAACGATACGGAATGTACCAATGCCTTACAAACCAAATCAGTTATAATAGGAGTATATAAGGGGTTAGTGTGCATACTGTTTAATAGTTGCAATGACGATGAAGTTGAAACTACGCAAAATCAACTGAGGAAGGTAATCAAGAGGTACTTATTGATGGCAGTTCATTCAAAGGAGACAAACTTAAATGGGAAAGAATCAAAATGTATACCAGATACTCTTTTACAAGGCATCTTTCTGCCAAACTTCTGATGTCCTTTACGTTTTCAGTGTGGTCACTCTGCAGTGTTTGTAAATGGCCCGAGCACATGGCCGATATGGACCCTATTTCTCTTGTAGCTTCATGATCCACTGAAAGTGCATCTGACAACAAGAACATAGCCAGATTATACACAAAATTCATATTTGGTAAAGGGGAAAAAGTGAAAGGCAAATCGAGTTAAAAACAGCATATTACCCTTTGCAATTCTCAGCATATCATGTGTTGCTGTCTGAAACTTCATATCAGTCAAAGTGGACATAAGTTCTCCTACCAAATTGATGCTCTTCTGATGTCTTGTTCTATTTTGAAACAAAAAATAATAAGAAAGCATTAGGTACAAATATATTAGCCAGCAGAACTAACTAAAATCGTCAATGCATATAAGCTATCTTTATAAAGAATCCAATAACATTATGAAAAAAGTTTAATATCATAAGGGACAAACTTACTCTACGGAAGACTCAATTTCGGCGGCATAATCCTTATTCAACTGATCTATAGATAACTCAGCGTTCTCCAAATGTTCGGCAGACTGATATACTTTCTCTGAACTGCTCAGAAAACACAAATGGTCATCATGTAGATTTCCAAAATACTACAACTGAAGTAAAGATGAGGTTAGAAAATGGAAATTTTACACAAAATATTTGCAACTTCACCAGCACATACCAAGTGTGGAGGATATTTTCCATTGTCACCCTTGCCTCAGTAGCTGAAGATGCATCTTCCTGAAATTGCCTTCCTAATCTTTTTATATGTGTGTTCCACTCAATTTTAGCTTTGTCCGAAATGATATGTATATTAGACATCTCTTCGTGTAACATCTTCTTTTCATGAAGGCTCATGTTAGTCATACTTCTCACAGCCTCCTCGACCTGTTTGTCATGTAAGAGATGAAACATAGAATCAAAAAAAACCTACTTTTAACTTAATAAAAAGAAGAAGAAGAAGAATTTGAGCAAATTGAAATGAAAAATATCAACCAGACTAGATTTTGTGGCCGTCAAGTTTGTTAATATTGCAGCAATTTTCTCAAGGGCTACTTTTTCTTCTTTGGCAGATAGTTCCTGGAAGAGTACATTGGCTAGAATAAGTTGTTGGATCATAATTGAGTGTCATCAATGCCATCTGTAGTTAAGTTCTGACCTTGAATTTATTCTCAAAATAATCTAACTGGCATGATTTTTGCATTTGATTTTCCTCAGCAACTGCAATAAGTTTAGAAGCTTGACTCTGCAGATCATTAAAGAAATCCAGTGTTATCTTTGAGATAGCTTGTGTTGAGACGAGGCTCCTCTGCAGTCCCTGTAACAAAACTTCATCTTTTGTAAATCATTTGTAAGGGTGAAAAGAGGACAAACATCTAACCAAATTTATCAGAAAGTAAAGATATACTTCTTCTTGTCGCTGAGCTGAGAAAGCTAGTAGTTCCTTCTGATCTGCAAGAGATCTCTGAAGATCATCCAATACCTGCTTAGCTTCCGAGATTGCAGTGGCTAGAAACTACAAAGAGTGCACAGTATAAAATAGTTAGCCATTTTCTTCTGATAACATTGTTTACACCTTCTAAGATATCAGAGTTTCTTCCTTCAATTCATACATTCTCAACTGCTATTGTCTGAGAATATACTGCACAGTTCATCTGTTCCAAGTCTGAAATGGCTTTTCCCTTTA